GTGATATTGGTGGGTGATTTGGTGATATTGGTGGGTGATTTGGTGATATTGGTGGGTGATTTGGTGATGTTGGTGGGTGATTTGGTGATATTGGTGGGTGATTTGGTGATATTGGTGGGTGATTTGGTGATGTTGGTGGGCGATAGGGTGATTTTGTGATATTGATGGGCGATGGGGTGATTTGGCGATATTGGTGGGTGATTTGGTGGGCGATTTGGTGATATTGGTGGGCGATTTGGTGATATTGGTGGGCGATTTGGTGATATTGGTGGGTGATTTGGTGATGTTGGTGGGCGATTTGGTGATGTTGGTGGGTGATTTGGTGATGTTGGTGGGCGATTTGGTGATATTGGTGGGCGATGGGGCGATTTGGTGATTTTGGTGGGTACTGAAGATCACCCAGGTAATAACAGGTGTTATATGTGTGGCATCCTGGTGAAATCAGGTGCCCGTCGAGACAAGAGGGTAAATTCTGAAGGATTTTTCTTGTCCCACGACCTTTTATGGCCATTCAAGAGAACATTTCTGTGTGGGTTTTAGTGACAAACGTTGCACGAAAAGTAAATGTTTAGTTGCCAAAGACACTCAAACTTTGGAAATCACCAATATTTTGTTGCCATTTTCTCACTAATTTCAAGTCTGACACCTGTTACACCCACCTCCTTCAGTCGCAAATATCGACTTCTATTAAAAGTTGATGGGTACTGCTTTTATCAAAAGCAAGATAAACGAATAAACTTTAAGACTATACCAATAACTCCATATACCCAAAACTTGACAAGCGCCTCATCCCACTGCGTCGTGGCATAAATGATGCCCTGCTTGAAAATACATAAATGAGTTGTGTTGACAAAATGAGTTACTTCTCGCAATCCACAAATGGGGATGTTGGTCAAAAATCGACACTAGGGTGGAATTTGTAGATTTCCTATTGATGCCACATTTTTAAAGTATAATATGCCTTTTATTATCTCAAACGTATAAATTGTAAAAACTTCAGCTACAAGCGTAATGTGCCCATTTCCATAGGGCCGAATCTGAGAAGTAACTCATTTTGTCAGTACGCTTGAAAATTGCAGTCTCTTAAAGTGATGAAACTGGACTCAGGGGATAACAAGGCTGACAAATACTGAGCTTGGGGAAGTGTTTTGTTGGAGGAAAAGAGATTGTTTTGTTTTGGTTAAAGAGAAGCATATAGAAACAATAAGGGCAATATAATTATAGCCATTATTAATAGCATTGATGTAGCTCGACAAAGTAGCCATGATTAATAGCATTGATGTCGCTCGACAAAGTAGCCATGATTAATAGCATTGATGTAGCTCGACAAAGTAGCCATGATTAATAGCATTGATGTCGCTCGACAAAGTAGCCATGATTAATAGCATTGATGTAGCTCGACAAAGTAGCCATGATTAATAGCATTGATGTCGCTCGACAAAGTAGCCATGATTAATAGCATTGATGTAGCTGGACAAAGTAGCCATGATTAATAGCATTGATGTCGCTCGACAAAGTAAAGGTAGGGGGGAACTTTTCTCCACAAAGTTCAGAAAAAGAAATTAATGTTTTGACCTACCCGACACAGTTAAGATGAATAATATTTTCAACTTCTTCTTCTTCTTCTCGATCGCATCACACTTGAAGCCCGATATATGTCATATTATATTGGACCGTCTTGCTCAGTTCATCAATAATATTTTGACAAGCCCGAAAGAGCTGTAACCGATAGAAAGTGATGTACCTACCCGATAAAGTTGAGATAAGTGATGAATATTTTGACATACTCGAAAAAGTTAAAACCGATAGAAAGTGTTGTACCTACCCGATAAAGTTGAGATAAGTGATGAATATTTTGACATACTCGAAAAAGTTAAAACCGATAGAAAGTGTTGTACCTACCCGATAAAGTTGAGATAAGTAATGAATATTTTGACCTACCCGAAAGAGTTGAAACCGATAGAAAGTGTTGTACCTACCCGATAAAGTTGAGATAAGTAATGAATATTTTGACCTACCCGAAAGAGTTGAAACCGATAGAAAGTGTTGTACCTACCCGATAAAGTTGAGGTAGACGGACGCCGACACGAAAATGGACACCAGATAGGACATTCTCTCCCCCGAAGTGGGCGGGATCCAGAAGACGAGTGACGTCATCGAAGAGGTGACCACGATTGGCAGGATCATACACATGACGTAATACATCCGGGACCTCTTCAGGGCAAGGGTCACGACAACTTTGGTCACCTTTTTGTGATGGATGACATGGATGGTGCTTGTCTCCACGCTCCACTCACTAGAGCTCCTCAGTGTCTCGTACTCGCCGAGGTCCCTCTTCACGTTTTGTGGCTTGGGTGAAATGAGAGGGGGGGACGAGGTAGGGGGTGGAGAGAGAAAGAGATTGAATGATTGTGTAAAGGAAAAGCAAAATACAACAATTTTTGAAATTTAAAAAAAAAATGTTGCGTTACATTTTGAGAAATACAGACATGGGATACTTAACATCTCACGTTTTTGTTTTGTTTTGTTTTTTGTTTTTAAATTATTTTTCCGAAAGCGTAGTATATTTTTCAATCCTGATTTTTTTATCTTTTTTTTTTTGCGTTGCATTTTGAGCAAAACAGACATGGGATACTAAACATTCAACGTTTTTTGTTGATTTTTTTTTTTTTTTTTTCCCATGGCGTAGCATATTTTTCAATCCTGACTTGGGAGATTCTCCACATTGTAGCTCTGAGCTCTGGACTCTTGATGGACAGAAAAAAGGCTCGTTTACTTTCCCACCCAAGCGGCAACTCAACTTAGCCCGAAAGGTAACAACTCGTGTTTGTCTTTTGCATCCTTCTAATTTTTTTAAAGAATGTGCAACGAAATAGTTCCCTTCTTCGACTCCCCTCACTTCCCCCCCCCCCCCCTAACCACCCTTTTGCGCCCAATGCACAGAGTCCAGGTAAGACTCTTTATGGAGGCCCTTGAGCCAGTGTCGTAGTTTTTACGAGTAAAGAGAATTATATCAATTCTGTGTGTGTGTGTCTCCGCCTTTACCGGGGCCAGGCCGGCATAATGGGCTGGGGGTGTGTCTGTGAGGGTTAGCGGGAAGGGTATTGGTGTGTTGAACATTCTGTCCCCGCTCGGCGCTATCAAGTCACGCACAGATTAAAAGT